GTTTTGTTTTAGATATTTAAGTTCAGAGTCATGTAACAAAGAAAACAAATAAGCCTAATTCTGACATCTCATTGAGTTTTGAGTTTTCTGCAATACATGCATGAATTATCCCCGTTAGGATAGCTGATGATAAAGATGTTGTTAAGTGCACGACAGCCCCATTCACTAATGATATGGAATTTGAGGTGAGAAATGGAAGTTGAGGTGGCTTGAACAACCCCCAAAGTGGAACTTAATTTTAAAGTTTTCCATAGGCCCCAGGTATACACCGCCCATGAGGAAAGGGTCCTAACCTGAGCAGGATCTGTTGAAAACTCTCGCTGCTGAAGCCAGGCTTGCAGTCACAAGTGACGTAGGGTTCATCGTTGACGCACATTGCTCATATAGCGTCGCAGTTATGAGTACCGGCTGGGCATTCTTCACATCTAAATATCATGAAATAATGACATGATGGTTTGACAGAGCTCAGATTTGAAGTAAAAATCAAGTAGACTACAAGTGCTTGTTAATCTATGCACTTTCTACCAGACAAGAGGTACTTTATTTCAACAGTCCCCCCCCCCCAATACAAAATGCTGGTTGATTCATAGTACTTTGGTAAGCAATATTTCTGTTCAGCCCCATGGAATTGATGCCTAGTTTCATTGTCAGATTGACAAACCTGAACAGGTCCGTTGGTCACTATTGAGAGTGTAGCCGGGATGGCAACGACACTCGTAACTGCCTTCCAGGTTATCACACATCGAGTTGGCACCACACATGTCAGGATCACTGGGGCTTGTGCACTCATCAATATCTGGAAATGAGACAGAAGATGTAAAGTTAGGAGAATGTTCTCTTAAAGCCACTGAACGGTTGGGCGTAGAGAAAATATATTAATTCTTTTAAAGATTGTGACTCTGTTTGTGTTGACAGATCAAAAGATGTAAACAAGTTGAAGAAGGAATACACTGTTGAACAATATTACCTTCACAGACTGTGGGATCATCATCGATTGCGTATCCTGGTTTGCAGAGGCACATGTCTGCATTGTTGGTTTTGTAGCACTCACCCTTGTGTGGCAAGTTGTACCCGAACACACACATTACAGCTGTGGGAGAAAAACAAAACAGTCATTGTGATGGCAAAGAATTGTATTATGTTGTCTTTACTCACTGATGAATCTACAAATCCGGACAGTGCTGTGGCAGTTTCGGGCTGTACATGACTCATGGATTTACAATATTTGGCAGTAAAGAGACAATTACGAGAAAAGAAATGATACCTTTTTTTTGAAAAACTTTCAGGTTTTTTTTATGTTTGCTTACTACTTGAACTTTCTTTATTTTCTAATATTTATTTACATGAATCAGCAAAACAGATTATCCCACTGAAAATACTGGTCATGTGATAAGTAATTGGTTAATCTTGATGGAGTTCTCGATGCGCATCATTGCACATTTCGGATGCCAAACTAGCTAAATAGTTTACCTTGGCAAACTCCATCTTGAAGGGTGAAACCTGCACTACAATTGCAATCAAATGATCCTTCCTTGTTAAAGCACTCTTGCTGGCAGTTGTCTAATTCAAGAGTGCATTCGTCAATGTCTGTGCAAAAAGGGAGTGGAAACCAGATTTACAACAAGTATTGGAGTTAAACGATGATAACTGTGAAAAGGGCCATCGTTCTGTCATTGCAAGTCCCCTGTACTGTTACTGGACTTGGAGATCGACCTGCACTTTATACCAAAGAAAAGATTTGTGTTGAGCAATGGACTCCATAAAAATGGAAAGGGATGGTTACACACAGCTTGCGAATAAATGGCAACAAAGGCTTTTATAGTAATGTTGATACTAAAGTAAATATTATTGCCACATCCAGTTGGAAAGTTTAGATAAAAATTAGGAACATTCTTCACATCACTTCTTCAATGTCAGATAATTTATCGACTGAGTTTGATGGTGTTTGATGGCATTAACAGCTGAGACACTTAACCAAAACAATCGCACTGTGACATTGGTTCTAAGGAAGCAATTTACAATGGTTGTTTCGCCTTTTACGCAGATTTAGTTACAATGTCAAGGTACTAAATTGTATATATTAGTTGATTTCTCACACTGTGCAGGTCTGTCCGTCCCCTGTGTATCCAGTCACACAGTCACACTGATAGCTGCCCACGTGTTGGTGCAATTAGCGTTTTCAGAACAATCATTGCTTCCCTGACACTCATCGATATCTACAAGGATCAAAATTTGTGACAAGAAAGAAAATGGTTGGATAGAAATAAAATACTTCATTTTAATTTGTGTCAATGTCGTATTCATTTGTCAACAAGCTGTTTGCCGAGCAAGGATTTGGCAGCGCATCCAGGAATGTAGCAAAATGGGGGCTGGGTGTCACCAAAACGTATCCCGGGTCAGCACGTACAGCCTCAATGACAAATGAACCACCGTGAGCGTTGCTGTAATGAAGAGAGCCACCTATTGTTCGATAAGGTCCAAGGGATTTGAACATCGCCTCCTGGAGTCAGACAGAGTACAGTTCCCCTTCAAACACAACATTCTTTTGCGTTTGCAACAGCCGGCTTTTTACCGGTTCCTAGCCTCCACGGAAGAACAGTCAGCAAATTTGTTGTCGCACACCCAACCAAATCAGTCTTACTTTGCCCTGAGCACATATTCCGATTTGTCAACTCCCTCTAGTCTACAAACTTAAGAAGCAGTCTTTCGACACAAAGCACTGGCAACAGAAAAAAATATATATTGCGCTTTTTTTTTCGTTTTAGACAATTGTATCAACATCTGCGAAGAAGGTTTTGGTAAAAAAAAAATAGAGGATAACTCCCATTTTCAGTCAGCTAGCTGTTTTGTTCAGTCGCAGGCCCAGTATTAACAGTGTGCACCTAAAAGGGACACTAATAATACACGTATACAGCACACTGAGTATGTTTGATTTACCTGTACAGGTTGTCCGACCGTCCCCGGTATATCCATCCTTACAGCTGCAGTCAAAGCTACCCACTGTGTTGCTGCACTCACCAGTAACGGCCAAACAATCGTCCTGACAGTGGTACACTCATTCAAATCTGGAAATCAACGGTAATGGCAGAAAAAAATTAGGCTGTGCTGAAATATGGTATTTTGCAGCCATGGCTTTGTCTTTGTCCCACGATGGGCAACAGTGCATACTTTTAGTCATGGACAACAGTATCTGTGTTGGACATGACCTAAGTTGGTGAGGGTGATGGTGTTATGTGGGAGTCGACAAATCAGATCGACAGCCCTGGAATATATGTTCGCCGTGCACAGAATACACTGAACAGAGCATATACTCTTTTCCACTGCATTCCTCGAGGAAATAAAACACTCCAAATATCGCTATTGCTGGCTAGGTTCACTAACTGCAATCAATACCAAACAATTTGTACACTACAAAATTGCGATAACATTACTTACCCGCACACATCATTCCGTTGCCAACATAACCAGTGTTGCACTGGCATAGAAAGCTACCTTGAGTGTCCGTACACTCAGCGTTTCTCATCACAGACTGGTAACGGTGCAGCACATTCGTTTATATTGGTGCAATTTGTGCCGTCGCCAGTCCAGCCCTCCCCACACGCACACGTGTATGATCCCACAGTGTTTGTACAATCGGCTTCAGCGTGACAATTACATCCATGTCCCTTGCGCATTCATCAGATCTAGTGACATACATGAAGACGAAAGAAGTGTTTCGAGGACACTTTCAGCAAAATACGACTTTGTGACGCTACAGAAAGTTTTCACGCTGCCTTTTCACAAAAAATATTGAACGCAGTTTAACACCTACAGATTTCACCATGAAAGTTTTGTTATACCAAATTTAATTCACATTTGCATTGCAATGAAATGGAAATTACCACCTGATGTATCCACTTGGTAAAATCCACATTGTTTGCGTCTATTTAAGACAATTAATTCAAAAGTCAATTAGTTCATAAGGCCTTACCTTGACATGTCTTGCCATCACCTTCATATCCCGCAATGCACACACACAGGTACGAGCCTATGGTGTTTTCACATTTAGCTTTCTCGTCACAAGTATAGCTACTATTGTCTGTGCATTCCACGAGGTCTGAGAGATGTATAAAAAAAAACACACTATTTGAAAAATCAAACTTTGATTTCAACTTCTGTAAGTGATGTGTTTTGTATGCCTCCATGACTGTAGTGACTGTAAATTAAGCTAATTAATACTGACTTCACAGTAAGGTGAGAAAAACCCCTGGAAACAGGATAATTTCTATACATTGTTTTTAGCATCATTGTTTGTATTGACTGAATTTCCACAAAGGACTCTTTTGAGCCTTGATTAACTTAAATCGAAATTTAAGAAAGTAAAAAAGAACAGAATGTTGGTGTCATTACTTTGGGTTTCATTCTCCTTGGTATATTATCTACTAGCCTAGGCTAAATTGCTTAGCACAACCTTTGAAACACCGAAAATATTTATACACGAGTCTCATAAGTTCTCACAAGTTTTCCTTTTTCATCACAAGTAGTGAAACTACTCAAATCGATAGTTAAGCAAACAGAACTTCTTTTTTCTTTGTCCACTATTCCTTCGCTACATTTTACTTGACTATGTTGTAAGGTAACTTATGAATGATTTGCAATTGTCTTGACATTGACTTAAGATTGTGGTACGTTCAGCATCATCATTTGCACAGTGGAAAGGCTAAATCACAACGCTGTGTTATCAAACATTTTTAAACCAATAAAAACAGCATCTGTTTTTAAACTGTTTTGGGCTTCATCATATTCTTAAATATTCATATAGTTTGCTTACTGTACAACAAATGTCGAAAACTTCTCTACTACTTTCCAAGAACACATAGGCCTACCTGTACACGACGTTCCATCCATAAAGTCGTCCCTGAAGCCTGGTTTACAGTCACACTCGTAGCTGCCCTGGGTGTTGTTGCACACGGCGTTGACACTACAGTTGTGCAGGCCAATTCACATTCGTCAATATCTACACCATCCAAATCAAACACAAACTTTTAAATGGTGATTTCATAGCTAGAGTGCGAGTCTGACAAACAAACACAAATTGGTTATTCTGTATATCTGTTTGTCTGTTGTGTATGTCTGATTTGTATGTCTCATCAACTCACATAGTATTTCTTTAATTAGTTATTATTTAAAGACATCTCTTCATACAGGCTTCGGCTTCCAGAATATGCCTCATGTGTGTGCCGGAACACCTTTGCCGTATTATTGTTATTCTTGTATTATTATATTGTCCCCGTGCAGAATGGAAATAAAGTGAACTGGGGGAAAACATTGACATGCCCAAAATCCTCAGATAACGCAAGGGTAAAATCAAATTTGATTTAAAAATGGCTGACAATTCCAATATGCCTTCAAATAAATATAATGCTCAATTTTGTTCATTTCGTCTTGGTTTAAATAATCAAATTCGGCGTTTCAAAATACAGGGCGCCACCAAGAGTTTGTCATGGAGAGTTCATTTTCCCAGTGCATTGTGGGCACCTTTTTTTTTTAGGTCAGTAGTAGTTTCGTAAGCAAATGATTTAGGATCTGTTTGCCCTTTTTATTTTCTTTATATCATATTGGTTTTTGAAATTGCGGCAGAAACGCTATGCCCCTGTCTATAACATATTAGCTCAAGTTGACTACTGATAATCATTCAAATGGGCCATGTTTTGTCGACCATAAACTTAAAAATATTGACTCTCCATGGCAAAATCTTGGTGGCGCACTGCATTGTGAATCGCCCGAATTAGGACTTGTGGATTTTTGGGAGAGGATGGCAGAATTTGTAGCCAGTGACATTTGATATCAATGTCCGTGTCTCACAATGTAAAACAATAACTGCATTTGAGGGAAGTTCGAGGAAAGCTAAACTAATATCTGTCACGGATGGCATGTTGCGGATAAACCTTTTCTTCACCGTATCCAGATATTTAAAGAGAAAAACTCTTAGGTATTGTGCTCTTTCACGTTCGCAACCAATTTCTTTCAACAGGTACATCTGTAACTTTGCAGTTTTTCTTTGAATGTCATTGCATACAAAGAGCACTGCATACAATGCATCGGCCTGTGTCAATGTACAAGGAGAAGCCAGATTCACAACTGCAGTTGTAAATCCATGAGGGTGTTGTTGCAGATCTGATCGCAGCCGCGTCCACCGCTGCTGGCTGGCTCGTCTTGGTACAGCTCACAACTCGTCAATATCTGCAGGAAAATCAATATAGAGTCTTCAGGTCAAACACGATACATCATCCTCAGTTAACGTGAGTTCATATCATTAATACATCAGTCACTAATCAAACTTCATTAACTAATGACAACAGAATCATTGTGCACTTTACTGATGTAATCTATCACAAACAGGGAATTGTTAGGGCGGGGAATTGAGGTAACTAACCATGTTATTTCCCCTGGGGGAGGGGGTTGTAGTTGGCCGACCACTCCCCTCCAAGTTTATTCCCAAGGCCATTAGTTTCCGTATATGTTGATGATGTGACTCCATTTGTGACTCTATTTATAACTCCATTTGCAAAAATCTTGATTTAGATCGGGCTGTCACTTGTGGTCAATCCGAACAGTTCTGGCCTGCATTGGAGGTACATCTCTTGAGGTGTGAGGGTTGCCCATGGGCATGTCACAGTTGAAGTGGTCCACAAGCAAGTTGGTCTTAGCCATTAAAGGAGCTAATGGTTTCAAATAAATACTCCAACCAAGAACTCTTTACTTACCCTGACAGAACCTGCCGTCACCCTCAAGTCCTTCAGGACAAGGTCCACAGGTGTTGTTCAACGACGGTGGCGCTTCATCAAAACAAGCCACGCCCATGAAGCAGGGGCCGTCCTCACAGGCGTCGTAATCCACTTCACAGAACTCACCACTCCAGCCAGGCTCACACTCGCAAAGCACCACCTAAATAGGAAATGAATGACAACGTTAACCAAACATACTACACAAATAAATGTGCAGAACAACAATTACAACTTGATCTCTTCGATTGTATCGCTACATTCATTCACAGAGCCCATTGTATAGGTTAGTGTCTTTCGAATTAGGAAAGGCCTCTGTCTTCGAGCAGGACACTTTTCTTACAAAAAGTTATACTTTCCATTAACTGCATTTTAGGCCTAATTAAGATTAACCAATAGCTTATGAGAATATTTGTTACACTAGAGCAAAAATACTACACAGCTCATATACAGCGTGGATAAAAAAAAAAAACCGAAACCGATATATTATTGCTAATTTGAACAGAAGTAGGGCACATGTGAATCAAAGAGAGATATCCTCTGTTAGGTTGAAT